TTACCCTCCCTTTTTATCACAGAATGATGAGAACATAATGTTCTGTGGTTGGTATGAACTTGAATTTTCTCAGCGCACTTGAATTTTTCAATCGACAAAATCTTCAAAGTAGAAGAAACAAAAAGGTCAAATGAAACACGTTGCTCAATACTATTGCTACTTGAAAGCTCACTTGAAAGCTCACTTGAATAATGGCTGACTAGCATGAATGAAACGTAATTCCCTCCTCCAAGTGACCACGTAACGGTAAAAGACGTCTCGAGGAAATCAAAACCTCTCCTTGAACAGCTGGTCCTCTTATCCAGTGACAATGTTTGTCTACAAACCGAATTGATTGACACCTCTGTGTGCGATACAAAGGCGCCATTCATTGACAGCGTATTGTATACCTCCGACCAATGCAAACTCTCGAATAACCTCTGTTATGTGACCCCCTCCGACATATGTTGAGAGCTGTTGTAATTGGTACAATTAAAACCACTAGTTATGGTTCCAGCTGCTACTTGATCGCTAACACTGTTTGGGAACTTGTGTGTGTTGAGTGGAACTGTTTGGGGTGATTGTAATGGGGCCGTTATTTGAAAACACTGCATTTTGATGTCTTCATAAAATGGTAGAATGGAAACTGTAGAAAATGGTCTTATGTCCCTCAAAGAATGAATATGTATCAAGGATGAACGCTAATCGTATTCAGAAAATATATAAATTTAGCGGAGAGCTTTCAACCGTTGACTGACATCACAGATAGATATTGACATCAAATCATGGGGATGAGAAGTGCATAGTGGTAATATGTCCAGTGTAATGATTGATGTCTGCAATCTGACTTGTATATCTGACGGATATGCACGTTATACTGGGTCGTGACTGTTACTTCCTCGACCCTTCATGCGCATATCCTGTAATGATCCCGGTGATAAGGTGTGTTGTATTCACATGCAGTGATTGTGGTAAAAACTTCGATCTGTTACTTCTAGGTGGGCAACGGTACACCAGTTGCTTTCAAAATCTGTATCATTCTTTGCAAAAGAACCTTACGTGATTAAATTTGGTTAACGACTTTGAACGTTTCTTTCAAAATTGAGAAGTTATTCTCTTGAAACACGTTTAAAGGTTGACCGAAGTTTTTGTGGAGCTACTGTGCTCTGAAATGAAAAATCAAAAGTCAAAATCTTATAGGGCCTGGGTGTAATCGTTTTTTTTTTTTTACTTGTGAGAAGATGGAATATTAGTATTGCCATGTCCACAGAATAAAGATGGGGCATTTCTTTAACATATTTTCGCATCCCTTTACTTGATATCAAAACGTCAATATCAACGGCCTAAAATTGGGAGGATCGTAGATATTTTAAATCATTTACTCTTCAAAAATTTTTAAGGTTTTTACCAGTATCCAACGCTAAAATTACTGCTATAAATCTAGTGCTATTCGTGTAGTTATGGAGCCTTGGATACCTTATTATTAATTTTCTCATAAGCTACAACCTACGATAGCAATATTTCGAAGTTGTAATAATTTTAAAGGCCGTTTTCCCAAAGATTCCCTGGTTATGAATTGTCATCAAAGGTTGGCCACAGAGTGAGATGTTGTAGATGGATTATCGTGGTAAATAATACTTAGCTTTTAGTTGAGGTATAATCCGCTTTGGCTGAGCTGCTTGAACCCAAAGCTTGACCTCGGCTTCAACTGGCTTCTTTTGTTTTATAATCACCTCCAACGCCTTCCGACCTTCTATTTAATTAGTTTGCATCTAACTTGATGATTTATCGGCACTAAATTCTACTTTCAAAATTGGACAAACAAAACGCCATTTTCAACGAGGAAATTAGGCTTCAGAAGCACCTTTTGACCTCATTCTACAAACGGTGGTTACCGAAATTGCTGTTCGACCCATAATGGAGGATGAGGCTGCAATTTAAATTTCACGATATGCGTACAAGTCACTAACCCTGATGATTAAAACACCATCAATTTCGGCGTTGACCGTTACACGGTGGATTACCCGGGAATTGTGCTAGGCTGGAAGTCGGACGTGGAATTACATACAATCACGACTATTAGTCAGATGCGATCTTGTGCGAACAATAGATAGTGGGTTGGTAGGGATCGGTGTACTCTGATGTTCCTAGGCCCACTGTCTTCAGTAACTGGTGGAAACTGCAGGTCAAAATTTCCACATACCTTAAGGAGACCCATATTTATGATCAATGGAAAAATGTTTTACAAACAAATTTTTATATTTTATAATGTTTTACAGGCAGAGGTTCCAAACTAGACTGGCAAATTTTTGTGTGAAAATTAAATTGCTTTTCAAACATTGTCAAATTGCGCAGATTCCACATTTACATTTTCAAAAGAGGTGTTTAGCTTTCGGATTACTGATCATGTTTAAAATGGTTTACGATACCCGCAAATAGAAGTAGTTTGCCACTAGGAGGATTGACATTTTTCTCCTACGTTTACCACTTCAGCAACCAAGGATTACTAGCCTATATGAAGCTAATTATAAAATGAAAAGAGGATATCTTGACGTTTCGACTAACCAATAATGATAGGTTACTAATTTTAACATTCACGGATCATACCAAAAGGTGTGTTTTTTTTCAACAATTTTACTATTATTTCCTCAAGTTTAGATAGAAAGGATATCTTCGGGATCTATAGATTGTGGAAACGACTGGTACATTCCCTGACCTAACCACAAGACAAAGTGTTTTGTAGATGTATTTTCGCACTGGAAACCGCACAAACCCACTTTGTGTCCCAGTGGCCGAACTGACCGAGAGAAAGGTTGCGGAATTGCGCGATTTCCGCAACGCTCAGTTACAACATTTCATACGGTGCTGTTATGACGGATTATAGTGGTTTGGACGGCGAATTTCTCTGTAATTCTGCCAATCCGCGGGGAGTATGGAGCTGGTGATCGAACTAGGATTGCTTTCCTGTATGAGTCGTTCATACGTCAAGATTGTAAAGTTTTATTGCCATAGATTTTAGACATGAGAAGTGGCAAATCAGTTCAAAAGGAGTAAATTACTCGTTTTGTTTCGCATACAACGGTCATGGGAATTATTGCTGGTAGGATTTATTCAACGTTGCTCATAGATCAGTGTTAACAAGGTTTAGTAATTGCAGTAAACAATAAACTTGCAATTTGCTTTAATTCTTCATTTACATGTGTGACATCATTGTATTCATATCAAACTGTTACCAATATCGAATTCATCAAACAATTGATACCGTATTTACTAAACTTAATTATATGAGAACAATAGGCATTGTACTCTGGATGGTATACTATACTGTACGTTTTGTCTGTTGGCGGAGTGAGTTTACAAACTGTTATTGTGTATTAGTCATACAGTATCGACCACGCCAGCAAAGGTTGGTATGAAGTCAGCGATGGTTCAATCCTTGCATCATTCAAGGACGTTGCTGCATTCACTGGCTTTTATTGCCGTAGCAGCTTTCGTTGTTCCATTTTGCCCAAGTTTATTGAAATAATACGGGTTAGGTTTTCATTTAATTTTGTGGGGATTTAGCCCTAATGGTCATATGCATTTTTGTAAAAATGTTTTATATTCCATCTCGGGCCACACGTTTAGTTCTATGGAGTTACAATCCATATAATTATCACTCCTTCACTCCTCTACAACAACTCATTAGGAGTCTGACACTTGTTGAACAGTAATAATTATTCGCTTCCTTAACTGGAATCATTTATCACATTGACGAACTGCGATGATTTCGTTCTTACGACGCGATCACTTCCTCCGCTCGGTAAGATCAATGCCCGATCACCGTGAAAGGTCAAACATTTGGCAATGTCCAGACATGTGGTAGAGTGTCGGTGACTCAGAATGCTACTCTGTAGCTGGAGAGGTGCCAGAGGTCCTCTGTGTCACGTGCCCACTGTCCAGGTGTTACTGGCCAGCTGATCCTACAACCTCGTGAAAGCTTGCATTGTTGATCAGCTGATTGTACAGAAGCTCTTGAGGTCCACAGTTTGATTGTGAAATTTATTGTCGATCTGTGTTGGTAGTTATGTACTAGTTTACACACTTGTGGCGGATCGGAAGCACTGTTACGTTGCCTCAAAACGAGACTAGGAAGAGTTAGATTATCCAAACCCTTTTATTGACGAGCACTGTCTTCGCTTGTGTTATAATTAATCAATCAACGCCCAGCTGATATTTGACCGCGGCTAGTGGCCAATGTTTTTGCAGCTAGCCATATGTTGAGTGAAGAGCGCTACAGCGCGGAGTGCGGCTGACTGACGGATATGGAGGGAATCAACAGCTAACAGATGATGGTAATGAGTAGAGAACCGTAGGGGGCGATCTGACCCCGGGGTCAACTGACACGTGCCTTGGCCTGTCATGCTGTCATACAGTCATGCTGCCATGCTGTCATGCTGTCACAGTGGCTTACTAACTTTGGGAGAAAGCTGTTTACCGTGCATTGTCACGATGTATACGCCACACCATGACACACAACGCGCAAGTGTGTTTAGGGCGGTGTTAAATTGTATTGTAGATGGTAGATTTCTAGCGGTGTACGTCAAAATTAGCTGACACTTAAGTACTTTCTTTTCTTGACATGTTAAACTGCTACACTTTGAAAAATAGATTTTGAGAACACGTCGAAACAATTAATATTAAGTCGAGTGATCTTTGCAAATTTAGTTTCTGCTGGTGTCAGACAGGATAAACAATTTGCATCTCCGTACTTCGAAAAAAAAAGAAAATCGCTGTGGATATTTATCGCCTCTTTAATAGTCTATTTTAATCTTAATTAATTTAGATGGATTTTGATTTTCGGGTGCAGTATTTGCTTCTGTATTTGAGAGACCATTTGAACATTTTCCTTATGCAGTTTTTAACATGGTTTTTGGATATTTGTCAGGATCCTGTGTCCACATCGTGGTATCGGTATTCAATTTCCTAATTTCAAAAACTGTTCTATCCACGTTCTTATGATTTTTCTCTTTCTGTTGCAGAGTATCCAACGTCAGGTAGAGTTTCTGGGCAGGTCTGTCAGCTCGGTGTTGAAGCAGTGCGATCTGCTGGTGCAGGCGGAGGCCGAGAAGTCGAGAGAGGCGGAGCCCCCAGACACCCAGGGGCGACGACGAGGTCGCTTGGACGCCGCTCAGGCAGTGAGGACAGCCAAGGATCTGCAGAGACGCTGGCAGCACCTGACCATCAGGAGTCTAGAGTGGCAGTGTCACATTGACAATCAGACCAAGCGTGCCGAGGACAAGGTAAGGAATTGAACATCCTACAGAGTCTTCTATTGCTTTATAAAATGAATCTCTACGGTTTGGCGACGTTATTTTGTAATGCCCCCGAGGTTGTGGAGTCGATAAAGAAGGAATTCATAAATATTGGTGTTCAAATCAGTTTTTTGCAACAAAGCTCAATTCGTCTTATATTTACACTGATATTATATTTACATCTCGTTTTCCAAAGCCACCATTCCTGAGAGCAATATCGGCTTGGAGGCTATTATGGGAGACCAATAATTTGAAAATGGTTTGCTTATCGTACTGCCTTGCTATCCATAAGATGCTGGTTTAATCATGAGAGGTGTCAGTAGCATTTCTTATTTCGAAACTCAACTCAGATATCCTTGGTAATTGGGCTCCTAATAAATTCCCCTAGTTAGAGACCGTTTTTCTTAGTTGGTAATAAAGCCTTTAGGATATAATTCCATTCTGTCCTTCATCCATAGTTTTGAAATATAACCAGTTGCGTATACACCATACAGTTCTTACTGAATGAACAGTTACATTGATCACTTCATCAAGTCTTGCAGAACACATCAACAGTATGCACCATAATGAGATGTATTGGTTTGACTGGTCTACATCAAGCCCGTGTCCCTGATACAGTTTGGAACACTGCCATGCCATTACCATACCATATGGCTTGCCGCTGGTCTCTAGTAGGTGTTTGGTGTCCAGTGACCAGTTTCTAGCCCAGCAGCGCTGTAGCGCCGTATCGTGCCTTGTAGTGCGGTCAGGTTTCCAGAACTACTTAGCCTGATTACCCCTTTATCTGGCTGGATCCACGCAAGCACGCACCTCTTTCATTTGCATTCCGCCTTCAGTGAGAGCTGTGGGTCAGGTTGAGGACGACAATGTGTGAAATGTTAAAGTCCCTTTTACCTTCGGCTTGTTTTCGCATTTGAATTAATTCGTGGAGGTAATAGGTGTATAGTCTTTGTATGTACAAATTGTAATAATTCAGGAGTTTCGAGTCATGGCGCTTTTTAAAATCCATGGCTTATGTACTCGAACTTAAGAATCATCAGAAATAACTCATGTTTACTTGGTCAACATATCATTTTAATTAGTGGCCTACTTTAACTTTGTATCTCTTCTCGTTCTGTGAAACTTGTTTCTTTGTGTTATTCCTGTCTGGGAGTACGCTAATGTAAACTAGACGTTTTTATTTCGATATGAGGCAATTTCTACTGTTTATGCTTTAAACTTTACGTATATAACTATATCAAAATAAGAACAGTAGAGCATTCGTAGAGCGTTGTATTTGGTCATAACACAGAACACATCAGTGTCTTCCCAACTATACCTCTTTAACTATCTGGATGACAAAATATGAAGGGAAGTATCTATGATGGGTTGGTATTGTATTTGGTTTTATTTATGGTCGCTGATAAAACTAATGAAGCTCGTGTTATGAGTAAGGTGAGACGCAGCTGTCACAACAAAGCCACCAGCTGTTGATGTTGATAAGGATGTCGGTAAACTACGCACCTGTTGCTTTATAACCCTTCTACAAACTGGCCTATCATATCACAGGAGTTTGGGCGTTGATTAAATCTAGCAATTGTAAACCTGGTTGGTTAGCAATAAAGGTCTATGACAAATTTAGATTCAAATCAACCAACAGAAATGTTACTACGTTAAAAACTTAGGTAAATTTTATCAATTTTCGAATTTGAATCTTGTTTGGTTAGTCAATTTTGAAAGGGTTCCTAAATTTGCGACGTCACTGAACACAGCATTAAGAGTATAAAAATTCGATGAAATAATTTATATTTTATAGTGATCGGTGGTGTTAAGTTACCAATCAAATTATATTAGTAAATAAGCCATTACCGTAAACCTCTTGGTAAAACCTAGACCCAAGACCGATTACATGGGGGAAATCAAGAGAACAGTGGCTGATGAACAGGCTGTGTGATTACCGGTGAAGTAGCAATTAGTCAAGTAGGAAAGAAAGAACCCATCAGCATCACCAGCGACGACGACCGGTTCGGTAACTACTGTACCTCACCTTGCGCTGTGATTGTGGAGTGCAAGTGTGTGTAGGTGATGAGGTTCGCACGATTGTCCCCCGGAATGTGACTTCACTTTCCCGCCATTTCACTGGGAGCTGGCAATTAAGCGGGTGTGGTCGAGGATATAAGAGGTTTAGTAGTCATTAGTCGCCGAGTTTCTTGCGCTTTCAATAGCCAGATTGGAAGTGTAGCGTTTTACTATTCACTATGAAATTATATTTCTATACTTGGTATAAAATGTTCTCCCAGTATAGTATTCATCCTGTAAAATCTGAAGTTGTGTCATTTCTGGCTACGCTTGTGTGCGCTAAATGCTATAGTTTTAACCTTATGACTGTCATAATGTTTAATCATTCTTGAATACTTCTACTTTATTTGGCCTATATGTGAAGTTGCAGAGAAAGGGCATCTGAAACTGTGTCAAGGATTTCGTTCACTCCTTACTTTGGGGGATAAATGTCGATCTTTATTCGGTTTATACAGCTAAAGCCCCGATAACACAATTTATAATGCATATTCCACAGTAGCAAAACAGTCCTAGGCTAGTGCAGTAGGAAATGAGGGAAATGAGGGGGTTGGCTCGTCTAAGTGTCTAGGCTAGGGAGGGCTTCAGTGTGTCTGACAATCTGTCTGTAAAAGACCCTCACGTCCTAAAAACCCGTACTGTTTATACCACTGATTATGCAGACAATATTCCTCATACATGGACGTTCCATCAGTGTTCAATTCTCTAGTTTTCCGTTTTCTAAAACATTTCATCATCATATTGTAATTTACTACGTGTGGTTTTGTTTGTTCGTTCCGTAATATCTCATAAATTAATACCCAAACGCGCCACGTGTATACTGTCCGTGTCCGGCTCGCGCCACGCCGGGTACGTTCACAGCTGGTCTAATGGTCTAATGGCCGGCCGTGACTGTCACTAGTTGATTTGTTCCTGGCTCGCCATTGTAATGGTCGGCTGTGGCTGTAAACACGGTAATGACGGCGAACAGAATGGATTCCCGCAATGCATAAATCCCGCACCGCGCGGCTACATGGTACAAACTGTGGCTTGCCACCTGGGCGATCACGGCACGCGATGCTAGGGCACAGAGTACAGTGGTCAGAGTACTGAGGCTGCCTACACATACTTAGGAATATGCTCAAAACCTCAGGGGCAGCCTTGGTGAACGTATCTGGCTTGACAAGAATAATCGAATTTGAAAGGGATTAGGATGTAACAAAACGTGAAAAACTCCCCAGAATGCTTCGGGGAAATTGGCGAGTCGGGGAGTTGCCTATGTAATGCAAATCGTGTATACGGTCGATCTACCTAAGGTAAACATTTTAGCACGAGCATTAGAACACGAGTGCAATTATGATGCAGCGTGTATGACAGATTGGCTAGGATGTCTTTGGAGCATATGCAGGCTCTGGGAATTTGTTTCGTCCAATACACGGGTAAGTTAGAGCGTGAATGTTATCTGTAGGCTTATCTCCCGGAATAAAATAAAATCCTCTGACTAAAATTGCCATCTCACTTATTCATGCTTTCTAGCTGTCTATTCAGGTGTCTAGTAGTTGGCTCTCTTAACAGGTATAAAATTGCTAATAGCATTACAATGCATCTTTTTAGCTGCGAAACTGTCAATGAAAATTCGTCTACTCTCGATTGAAGGATTTGTCCAGAGTAGTAATTATGGCTCAGTGACCAGAAAACTCTGTGGTCAACATAATGAAAAGAAATCTGTCAGTATATTGCTTAGGGCCAGTCAACAGACAGTACATTTTTGTTGTTATTAACTAATCCTTATTGCGGTTGGATCGCAGGTATTTTAGTGCCAAAATAGGCTTCAACGACCACAAATCTTTATGTCCTCGAGTTGTGAATAACCATTGACCTTGACGCTGGTATCATCTCCAGTATCCAACCAGAGAGACAAGGATGCGGAAAGATCTGTCGGCAGATTACTTTGCCAACCATCTGGTGTATGATGTATGTAGAGTCTGCTAGTAACTGGTAACTGGTTCTGGCTGCTATAAATATACGATATTGTAATGCATTGCAGATGTACGTGCTTCCAGAACTGCTACTTTCCTCCAGACGTTATGGTAATCAGCTTCTCCAGTTTTCAAGTGGATTTGAATTGAAATGGAATTGTAGAGTTCGTTGATCGAAAGTGAAGCGGCCATTGGTTTTCGATATTAGTTCTTAATCATAAGACAAAGTCTTTGTTTTGAAAGGGGTTTGATGTGGACTTTTCCCCAACTAGGCCTACCTGTCCAATTGGATGCCTTCACAGTCGTGTGTACGATTTTCGATTGACGCTCGTTAAAGATGTTAGCGTGCTGTCAAATCATGTCACCACTGTATATTTTTAAACCTAAATCCTGAAGTTTTTGAGTCGAAGTACCAATATTATGTTGTCGAAAACTAACTTCGATACCTTCGGTAAGTCTACCAAAACCACTTAGATAATAATTTTTGAAAGCAATGGCCAATTATTACGGTTATGAGTTTGAGGTTACGTAGTAGGCTAAGCAGATTAGGCTTCAGCATAATCTAAATAATATAATACACAAACGATAAAATCAGAAAGTGAAATATATCCCTATGGCGGTGCTCCAATATTTACTGTATCTCAGGTCCGCAACGTTCAACGAAAGATATTGCGATCGCAGAAACCGCTGCCGAAAGCTTTCGAGCAATAAAGATAAACTGTTGCCGAAAAGTAGAAAGTAGGAAACTCAATTGTAAGTATCAGGTGATCTACAAATGGCGAAATATTATTTGAACAAAGGCGATTTCGCGAACAGGGCCTTTACGCTGTGTTGCTAACTGGTATTTGGATCTCGTAAAAACGAGGTGTGAAAGTAATTTAATGTAAACAGTTGATAGGGTTTGTAACTTGGAGTAACGCCTGTTAGTTTATTTAAAAGTTCTCCATAAACTCGTGCTTAGATCTTGTAACGTTG